TCTGCACTAAGCTTCCTTCCATAATACTGGTCAGCTTAGCTCTCTCAGATCTTATCCTCTGGAATTTAGTCATTATATGTATTTTATAGCGTTTCAAGCATTTCAGAGTGCTTTCATTTAAGTTATCTCATTTTAATACCACAGCAGCCCTGTAACGCTGATGATGCTGAAATATATACATAAACTTAAGGGATTTGCTGAAGACAATAAAGTCAGTGAAAAATCTGAGACAAAAATTTAGTTTAACTGGCTTCTCGTCCAGGGTCTTTTCTACTTCATCAAGAGCAGTGTTTTGAAAGTGTCTGCTTTTTTTTTTTTTTAATCCCTGAAAGCCAGCTGTTGGGGAAGCAATAAAAATTTGGAAATATATACTGGCAAAATGAGAGTTCTGTGTTATTTGGCATTGTTATGTTTGAGTCTGATAAAAAAAAAATAGTAAGAATTTTCTCTTTCTCTTCCAAACTTTTGAATCACCCTTTTAAGTGAGGGTATTAAAAATGTGCTAGATCGTTAAAACTCATTTACTCTTCCTGACTGAAAGTTTTTTTAGGACTTAAATTGCAGATATCTGAAAAGACTGTATTATTTATTTTTCCCTTATTTTTAAAAATTCTTCTCTAGTCTATAAACACACATGTACCTTAATAGCCTCATAAACTCTGGTCAAAGACTAATGCCCATCAGATCCATGACCGTGATACAAAAACTTGTCTCATTTACTTCAGAGAGAATGATTCCTCTCAAAGACAATTCTCACACCCCTCCCTTCTCCCTTTGAATATTTAGAAACAAATTGAGAAGCAGAGATATATGAAAATGCTAGCTGCTAACCGTGGAAAAGTGTCTGTGTGTATGTGTGTGTGAAAGGACTGAACTGGAAACATCTGAATTATAGCAGATACGGAAAGTGATCTTATCTGAACATACCTCATCTGACTAAAGCAGAGTCTCCTGAAAGTACAGCTACCAAGGGGGTCTCCAGACAGGACACAGTTGAAGAAAATCATGTAAGTAAATCTTATTCAAACCTTCTGTAGGATAATGCTGGACATAGCCCTATTCCCCCTTCCCCATGCATTCCAGAGTTCCTTCTTGCCCCTGGGAGACTACCCCTGGCCAAGGTAGTTACCCAAGGAAAGGCACGTCCCCTTTAAGACAAAGAGAGCTGGAGGGAGCTGGGACCCTAAGTAAACAAACAAGCACCCTGGCACCAGGAGAGTAGCGAGTAGATTAATTTATCTACTAAACCAGTGAGCGTCTGCACGTAAGCCTGAAAATGATTTACACCCCTACTCTGATCTGTTCACTACATAACTGCTGTATGTACCCCAGCGGGGCACAAATATCCAGCTGACCGGCTGTTTACACCTTACACTTGTCTTCTCCAAAGGTCCATTTGTTTTCTCGAAGAAGTCCTTTCTCCCTCCTCCCTTTCTCGTGTTAAATTGGTTTATAAACTTCCCTCCCTAGCCATTCAGTGAGTCTCTTTATCTGAATGCCTCAACAAGTTATGAATAACACTTTTCCTTCCTCCGGTTAATTTGTCCATTGTTAATTCACAGGCCCCTGACCACTAAACCTAATTTAGGAGAGGGAAGGTTTTTCCTCCCAATAGAACGTCTGTACCTAGAAGGAAGCATGGGAAGAGAATCCTGTCCTCAACACCCTTCATGGGCGTTGGTGACTGTGGTATATGACATATATTTGGTCTTTGTTTTTGATTCCTGTCACAGAACTCCTAAAACCATTGGAATTTCCCTAACATAGGAGTGTCTTTTGTTATTCATAACAAGAGCCCCTTTTGATCACACCTGAATTTATGCTCATGAGTAATAGATCTGCAACATAACCAGTGCCACTTTAGACAAGCCCAAGTACAAAATGGCGCCACCCACTCCCTCCCTTCTCCTTCCCCCTTCCCTTTACAAGAAGCCTCCTGACTTAGAAACAAGTTTCCGGCTTCTGCATCGGTGCAGTTCTCCACCCAGTTACTTCAACCTAATGGTCCCTCCTCCCGTACATTTCATGCCCCAAAGCTAATATAAACTCTTGCAAACCCATTGTTGGGGCTGTCCACCATTTTCAGAGCAACCATGCTCCCTCTCCCACTCTGAGCACAGCCCAGCAGATTTCTTTCTTTAATAAAGCTTGAACGGTACCCAGCATCTTGGCTCACTTTCTTTCATTATGGTGCCGAAACCCGGGAAGGGTTTTGGACGACATTGTGGATGATCCCCTCTCCCTGGGGGTGACTGGCCCTCGGTGGCCCTTCCTGGACCTGCCGGAATGGGGTACACTAGGGACTCTCTCTCCTTTTGCCGTTTCGGACCAATGCATCCAACACCGGCCTCAATTCAGGGTGAGCCAGTGGGTCTGTCCTTCCTACTTCTACTGTTCCCCCGACTACTCTCTCTACGACTCAGGTCCCTACAAAGCCCAGGCGCCTGGCCGAGGGAACTCTTCCCGTGCCCCCAGCTATGGAAGGACCCTTCATTAGCTGGTCGGTTGGCTTTTTTTCTCTTGAAAAGAAGGTGGGCAACAGAGAGGACACTTTGCACGCTTCTTCTACCAGGACTGACTTCCCTTTCTCACCCTCTAAATGGGTTCCTCGCTATCCAAACCTCCACACTCTACGCCCTTGGGCCATCTTCTGGCCAATTTCTTGGTCTCCAGGAACACATTGAACCTAAACATCCAGTCCCCTTTTCTACTGTACTCCGCGCTCTACACCTCTGGGCTTTCTCCTGGCCAATTTCTTGGCCTCTGGAGAGACGTTAAAACTCAAAAGCCTCGTTACAATGGATCCCAGTGGCCACAAGATGGCACTCAATTTAGACACTCACCAAAATGGCAAAAGCTATAGAGATTCCTTGTTCGGGACTTTTCCTATCTCTGAATGTATTCTTCTCTCTGTCAAAACTGTCCTATGTCTCAAACTTTCCTAGCTCATGCTCGATCTCTCCTTCCAAACTCGATCAATCTTCTGATCCGTCAGCCCTCCACATTTCTCTCTTTCCCCTCTACCTGGCCTCGAGATGCTCTTCCTCAGCCCAACTCCTCCCCTTCCCCCACTTTGTCAGGTAACAACCCCGCCTCAGCTCCAGCTTTTTATAACCCTTCCGTGAAGTGGCTGGGACGGAAGGAATTGTCTGAGTCCATGTACAGGGAGCAGGTCTGGATGGTGACTCATGTACACGCTCAAAATAATAGGCAGCCTGTGGGAGCTGTTGCTGTTCCTTGCACGGACCCAAAACGAGACTACCAGGCTGGCCATGGGGATTGGGATCTCCAGGATAATATGATCACACACCTACTTCATGGCCTCCAAAAGGCTACCCACAAGTCAGTCAATTATGACAAGCTTAGAGAGATCACACAGAGACCCATTGAAAATCCCAGCGAGTTCCTAACCCACCTCTCTGAGTCTTTACATGAATACACACGTATAGACCCAAACTCCCCTGCAGGCATGGCCCTCTTGCACTCTCATTTCATTACCCAATCAGGCCCTGATATTTGAAAAAACTATAAAAGAGATCAGGCCAAATGCCAGCTCCTGGCTAATGCTATCCAAGGCTCACATACCCCAAAGCTGGCTGCCTCAAGGGACAAGCCACCTGGGAACTGCTTCAAATGCAGTCAACTGGGCCACTCAGAATGGGCCTGTCATAACCTGTCCTCACTGCAAATGGCCAGGTCACTGGGGGATTGACTGTGCCACTTGCCAGAGAGGGAGTGGCCCAGTCCCCAACCTACAGCCTTTGGCTTAATGGCCATCCCTACCGGAGCTTCTTGGCTTTGCCCAGGAGGAGGACCGACAATGCCCAGGGCCTGAGGCCCCCACAGAGATCAACACGCATGAGCCCACTGAGCCCACGGTAACTCGTTTCCTGGCAGGTAAGCCGATCTTTTTTGTCATTGATACAGGGGCCATTTTCTCTACCCTTCCTGAGTATGCAGGACCAACAACCCCATCCTCTGTCACAATAGCAGGGGTCACTCAACCCCTTTCCTGCACCCTACATCACACCCAATTCACACACAAATTCTTAAAAATGCCTCGATGCCCAGCCCCCTTTCTGGGATGGGACATTCTTTTCAGATTCAAAGCTACTCTTACCCTAAACACTTTAACTCCAGCTACAAAACTCCTGTTACAGGCTGCACCCAGACCTGGCCCCAGGGGCTTCCTCCTCCCCCCCCTTTGGACAAGGTTAATCCTGTAGTATGGGACACTTCTTCTCCCTCCATTGCTATGCACCATTCCCCTATCCTTGTTTAGTTACAGAACCCTCTTTGTTCCCTAATGTCCCACAATACCCCATCGCTAACCCCTAATAGGCTTAAAACCCATGGTACACAAACTCATTTCTTCTCGTCTCTCACGGCCTACCCACTCACCTTTTAATACACCAAGCCTTCCAGTTATAAAGCCTAACAGCTCATACCGTTTAGTACAGGACTAATCCTCACATGCGCTGTTCCCACCAACTTACTTGGGCAATACTACCTCAGCGATTTTGGGATAGCCCCCACTTTTCCAGCCAGGCTTTAGCTCAAGATTTATCTGAACTTTCCCCCCCAACCTCTAGCACTTTAATACAGTGTGTGGATGACCTCCTCCTTTGTAGCCCCTCCTATGAGGATTCACAGGCCCACATTACTGCTTTCCTTAATTTCCTGGCCTCCAGGGTATATCAAGTGTCCCCCAACAAGGCCCAAATTTCTTCTTCTTCAGTTCAAGAGTCTAATTTCTGAACTCCCTACTCCTACCACAAAGGGTGAAATCCTTTCTTTCTTGGGGCTTGCAGGGTATCTTCACCTATGAATTCCTAACTTTAGCATGCTAGCAAAGCCACTTTATGGGGCAGCCAAAGGGGATTCTGCCGTTCCCTTAGATCCCACAAAGCTCATTCATTCTCCCTTCCAGCAATTAAAAGTCACTCTCCTCACAGTCCCAGCTGTATCTCTCTCAAACCTATCTCATCCTTTTATCCTGACATCACCAAAACCCAAAGATTGGCAGTAGGAGTTTTGGGACAAAAGGCAGGAGATATTTTCTCCCCGGTTGCATACCTCTCTAAACACTAGATGCCACATCTTGGGAATGGGCTGCAGCTTTTGGGCCTTGGTGGCAGCCACCCTTTTAGCATAAGAAAGCTCTAAACTAACTTTTAAACAACAAACAGTCAAGACCTTCTCAGCCATGAGGCCAAGTCAATTCTCTCCCTTTCCCGCCTACAACTTATTCACCTTTCTTTCATTGAAAACTCCCAGTTCTCCTTTAAACCTTGCCCTCCCTTAAAATTCAGCCATTCTCATCCCAAAACAGTCATGACACTTAGAACACAATTGCATGGAGGCTTTAGACCTCTTTCTCAGTCCCTTTTCACACATCTCCCCACATCACATTACACGGTTCATAGATGGGAGCACAACCTCCACACCTGCCCCCTGGGCAGGTTATGCCGTAGTAAATCGCACACAAGCTATTGAGGCAGCACAACTCCCAAAGGAGGTTGGGGTTATA